ACTCTTCTACTCACGTGCAACTGCTAACCAGGAAAGAGGCTATGATGACACGGAGTGGGGGCGTGGCTGAGGGTATGGGTCATGGTGATTGGTGATGGTGGGTGGGTGTCATCTGGGTGGAGTTGTGGATGGGGCTGGGTGGGGTAATTAGATATAGATAGATAGATAGATAGATAGATAGATAGAGAGAGAGAGAGAGAGAGAGAGAGAGAGAGAGAGAGATAATGTGTGTGTGTGTGTGTGTGTGTGATGGTGTTAACTTGGTTAGAACTGACTTGGATTTGATTATCTTTGTATCATTGTCATTTAGTGCTGGTTATCACATAGTTAGAGAAAAAAGTTTTTCACCAAACAAACTGAATCTCTGTTTGTATGCAACATGAACGCCGGAACGTGGCAAGATTTTTTTTTTTTTAATGTTTGTTTGTCCTTATTCAAAAACAAATAAAAATTGATTTATTTTTTTTTAAAAAAAGAACTCAGCCTGGAAGAATTGCCATGTGTTATTCTTGGTTTTGGGCTGAAATTACCATTTCCAGAATCTCTTGCCACCAGAAAGGAAAGTATCTACCTGGCGGTGAAAGCGAGTGCCATCTTCTTCAGGGACATTCTCAAACTCAGTCACAAATATTTTGCCTTCTATTTCCCGATGGGTCGTCTGGACACCAGTATCTAGCAGATAAACCTCAACCAGTTCACCAGCATCTATAGAGAGAATCAATGATACCAGAAGGATGTGTACAAGATACTTACTGAGGTACGGTAGTTAAATGCATTTCTTATTTTGTTTGTCAATATTCAGGAACATCAATCCTGATTGTGGCAAATTCCATAATCAAATTATTCAGCCAAATATTGCAACATTGCAAGGGTGGTCTTAATTTGAATTTCTTTTGTGCTTTAGCAATGGAAGGAAATAGTTAAATAGTGTGATTCTAAGTCAGAAAGTCAGACTTAAAAATCTGGGTACTAGAAGGTAACTGTGGACTGCTGTGAATATATGGACATAGTAACTGCATCATAGTTTGTCATTCTGAAGTTAGTTTGTTTTTTAAATAGCTGGGAATGAGAAGATGTGGCTGGGGCTATAGTATGAACTATTTTGATTCTGTCTCCATCACACTTCTACTGGCAATTGGTGTAAGATCTCCATTGATATCAAAATGAGCTTGTCTCCAACCATGAATATTAGGAACAGGGAAGGAAAATGCAATCCTAATAAAAACTATATCCATAGTAACAGATGAGTCTTTCTGCTTTCTTTTCATAATATATTCCCAATCCAATCCAACCCAAATATCCAGGAGATAGATAGATATACTGTCTCCTCTCATAACCTCCTATTGTCCATTCACTCTGACAGAACCAAGTGGATTACTGTAGTTCTGTAATCCCTAATGAAGAATAAAGTCAACTTGACCCATGTTCCATGGCAAAATTTGAATTTGTATCCCATTCATACAATTCTTGTTGGAATAAATGTCCATTGCTTTTGACAGAGGGTCCCTGCCTGCTTCTAAAAAAAAATGTGGAAAAGATGGAAGTGGTAGCTTACTGGGGGGATTATACTCATTCAGTGTGACCTGTTCTGGGACAATCCGGCCAAGATTCCAAGGAATGCTTTGAGCAAACACGTAAGAGTCCTCTTCTATGTAATCCACATGTGGGAGTTTCAAAGCCTGTACAAAAGAACCAGAGGAAAGTATTGCAGCACAGGTAACAGGACCACCATATATATTTTTTTGCAAAAGATTATATAAATTATGCAAAAGAAACATCTTGGGCATCTGTTTCACCACACTATAACAAAACTTGTCTCAGATAGGTTGATTCTTGGAGAGCCATCACACATACAGTACCAGTAAATGGTAAATAATTCTGCTATACATTTTGCAGTACGTGTTTCAAACAAGCATGTAAGCTGTTTGACATTACAAGAACCACACAAGAATGTAAAGGACAAATCTGAGAATTGAGCCTTCATTCACCCAATTCATGCTGGTTCAGGAATTCTGGGAGTTGAAGTACACAAGTGATAAAGAGGCCACAGTTGCCCAACCCTGATCCAATCTATGTAATATATACCTATAAATATGCTTTATGTTCTATACTCTATACTGGAGGTTTACAATGTAGGTCATATGCCTTCCGGCCCCTCTGGAGGGCCATATACCTTACTTACTTACTTACTTACTTACACACACACACACAGAGAGAGAGAGAGAGAGAGAGAGTGAGACAGAGAGACAGAGAGATAGACAGACAGAGATGACATGCAGATAGATATCTGACCACAAGCATAGTGCACCGTAAGAACGATATATTTTCAATGTTCTGGCTTTAGAATGCAGAAGCAAAAAATGTAAGGATTAAGGGTAGAATCCTAAATGGAGTAAAATGGGTAGTTAGAAAAAAAGTAAAATATTTCCAGTAATTCCTGGGAATAAAACAAACAACACCAAATACTTTGTATTATAGAAAAATCTTTATTTTGAAGTACTTTTTGTAGTCAAATTATTTTGTCCAGGTTCTCTTCTGGTTTTACATATAATCTCCCCAAAAGGATTTACAACACTCTCTGAAGGTCACTTAATTATTATTTTATATATTGATCAGTTTAAAAGTATTGGCCACACACCTCCAATGGCCTTTCACTTTCCTTTTCTGATTAAACTTAACTTTCAACATCCCTTTTCCCCTTTTTCCCCTTCTTTTCCACATGGAATTAAATGCCTTGCAGGTCTTAAAAATCCAATGAAATGAGAAAATGTCTGTTTCAAGTAATGGGAGTTGTAATCCAGAAGCTTAAGGTTTAGCTCTATATACCATTGTCTCCACATGGAGAAAGTTGCTTCAAAGAGGCTTCCATTCAAGAATAGAAAATCTCAGCAAAAATTGCCTTCCCCAATGAATCATTTATTTCACTTAATAAGCTTTCCCCAAGAAGGTGCCTCTGGGTGGGCTGGATTTCAATTCTCAAAATTGCCAGCCAATCAGACCAAGTTAGGGAAGGCCATTCTCAAATGTGGTACAAGATTGCATCGACTTCAGGCCACTGTGCTATTGCACAAGTCTTCTGATCACGTTTGTGTACGAAGCAGCCTGGCACCCAGGGAAGCATTAACCAAACACCCTTCCTCACCCTGCTTGCTGGGTCTTGCACCATTATCTGAAACTTTTGAAATGTTTGCAGAGTCAGCTATTGCTTTAAAAGTTCCCTGATTTTCAAGCGGCAAACCAAAGAGCAAAGGTCTTGCAAAACGCCTCTCCTACCCATTTCTGTGGGAATAAATGGGAACAGGAAAGATTCACAACCGAGATTGCGAAGTAGCTATATAGGACATGGATGCTGGCAGGAATTATGTGGCCTGAGTGGAACAATGTCTATCATTAGGCAAGTAAGTCACTCCTAAAAACAAGCCCCCTCAACAAATCTGGATACTGTTCTGACCTAGGCTTCCCCAAAAAGCACGAGGCAGAATACTGGTCCCAACAAAACTCCTTTTATTAAACAAATGTGAATTCCTCTCATTCACATTCAGCAAGGCCTGGCAAAGTCTTTCCAGGAATATTTATAACTACAGATCTTATCTATCTTGGAAACCTGCTATGTAAATATTTTCCAAATGAGGTGCTATGCAAGGAAAGACTGGGCAGAGTCTCTGAAGTTCACGGACAGATCTACACACTCCTGAAACAAATCTAACAACTGAACGAACAAATTGTTTCCTGCAAAAGCCCAATCCCCTTTCACTCCTCTTTTATTTCCTATGGGAAGGGCCAATCATCTTCCACCTGTGACTTTACTCCCAAGTCTACCCTGATTTCTGAGTTGTTCTTCTGGCTCTGCGCATGTGCACACTAGGAACAGGCTCTAGCTGTTCCTTTGCCTCACTGAATCTAGCTCTGTAGGCACCTGATCACTGCCAGACAGCCTCAGCCCTATCTTTGTCTCCAATGCAGAGCCCTCGTCGGAGCCTTCCCCAGCCTCCAGGACTGGCCCATGTTTCTCCCCAACCTCCTCACTGTCCAACTCTGCTACCAGCTCTGCTGGCAGGCCACAACAAATACAGTCTCATGATAGAGTAATCCAGCAAGATTTGTCTTCACCAAACATAGGTCCAGTATGCATATTACCTGTCCCTAACATTTATATAAACGCATAAGTTACACATACACTGCCATTTTTGCAAACATGGCTTCAAGCCACAAAGATATGGTAACTATTGACATCTTTCCTTTATCCATCATGGGTCTGTGAACATTCAGAAAATGAGAGGCATTATCATTATACAAAACAATTTATCAAAGCATACTGGTGTACAACCTGAAAAATAACTACCTTGCAATGTTTTTCTATAGAAAAAAAACCTTTTTCAGAAATGCAAAGGAAATAATCAGAAATCAATTACTACATAATATAAAGAAATAAAGACTGGACACTATACCATTCAAAATGGTGAGATGCAAATTTGTAGCTAACGTTCTCAGTGAACTATCTGTGTAAAGTATGTGTTTACATGCCCTGTGTGTGATCATAGATAAGAATAATCTCACGGCAGTCTTTGAGAATTCTAAAATTAGTATGTCAACAATCCCAACTCAGACTGGGCTCTGGTTCTTAAGGCAAAGTAAGTATGCATTATTATCATAGCTTAAGCAAATTGCCAAAATACAACTCACTTCCAAGTAAGATTTTAAATAGCTGGAATGCTATATTCAATAACTGCATTATACTGAGTTTTGTCACTACTGAAAATAAAAATAATTCAGAGGAGGTTATCTCCCATGGCAAGTAGCAACACCTAGCCAACCTTTACTAACCTATGGTGAGTACTTGAATGGGAGACTCCTAAGAAATACCATGATTAGGAAGAAGATAACAATTATTATTGCCAAGGAAATGATGTGGGCTTGTCTATATAGTCACTCAAGGTCATTTCAAGAGAATCTTTAGTTAAGATTAGCACAGATTGCTTGTTTCTATTGATGAGGATATAAATAAAGCCTCTGTTTATCACATGCTTCCCCTTAGTGTGATGCCTTCCACATGTATTCAACATTATCTCAAGCCAGCAATTATCAGCAAGCCCACAAACACAAACACATAGATAATGATAGGTAGATAGATAGATAGATAGATAGATAGATAGATAGATAGATAGATAGA